ATCCTCTTAAATATATAAATACTTAAATATAGAAAATATCCATCAATAATCAAAGCATGTTTAACAGTTGTATGAGAAAAGCGAAGTGGGCACTTGATGACAGGGAAGATCTAAAAATGAGACTCTTCAAGCAAATGCTGCCTGTGGGCCAGCCTTGTATTTTGAAAATTTAAACCTAATTTATACATATATATATATAAATAAAGAATTTTTAAAAAAATCACACAAGTAAAAAATTGGTAACTTGTTTACAAAGTGCAATATACCAGTACAGTGTATTCACCTTAAAGAATGTGGCTTCTCAAGTTTTAAAACTTCCTTGGTTTCCATTTACATACATGGTTTAATACTCAGTTGTTTGGTATAACACAAGAAACCTATGTAATGAAGCCTAAGCCCTGAACACCTTCTGTTAATTAATTCCAACATTAGCGAGTATGAAACCTGGAAAGTAAATTGTCAATATCTGATCAATGACGTACAGATTATCTGAATAAAATTTATGACCTGGTGTGAGCAGTCAGTAATTCCAACACACATTACTACTCTGTAATAAATTTTGTATGGTTTGCATGTCCTTCAATAACTGAAGAATTTTCCTGCTTTTTTCTCCAGGTCTCAGTTTGGCAAAATCCTTCTTACTTATGGTCCCCATGAGTCCAGAAGAATGGCTACTGCTGTTTCCTTCTTCAAGAGTCTTTTTGTTAGCTCTAACTTCCTTTTTCTGCTTCTCCAGCTTCTGTTTCTTTCTCTAGCTGTGCTTGGTATTTTCGAACTTTAGTTATTTGGTTGGCTTTTGCTTCCATCTTTCCCACTAATGCCTCTAGTTCACACTCTAAGCTGTCTTTCAGTTCAGTGTTTGGTGATTCCTGTATAAGTTTTACAAGCTGCTGGTGATCAAAGCTCATCTGACCAAACTCATCCTGTAAAGTCTGTAAGACTTCTGATAATTCTTCATTGATGCCGCTGGAAGAGGGAGGTGTTGCTGACTTCTTTCTTCTACTACCTTGTGAAGGTACTTGTTTGGCCAAAGAAATGTTGTTCACCACTCGATCACTGCACAAGACTTTACTGTGTTGTTTCATTAGATGCAAGGCATGCTGAACGTTAGCTACCACAGCATGGCTAGGACTAGTGGACTTCCAGCCACAAATGGCATATCACGTAAGCATAATCTATAATGAGGTTGTGCATCAAAGTAATTCCTAGGTCCTTTCTTTTCTGGTGGTTTTGACTTCTTTTTTTAAATTTTTCTTGCAGTGGGAGCATATGAGGTTGTTTTATTTTCAAAGGCAAATCTCTTTGTTTCTAGATCAGTCTGCAACTCAGCTGCCTTAGCTTGCATACGCTTCCTTTCCTGTTCTTCTTCATGGAGTTTTGCTTCCAATTCTTGCATCTTTTTTTCTGCAAGGGTTTGCATTGTGGTAAGTTTGTTATATTCTTGTTCCAGAAGATCCAGTTTTACAAGTTG